ACAGGAAGCGGGTAGCTGAGGGTGGGGAAAGGGAAGTCCTCTGTAATGAGGCAAGAAGGAACTTTCTGGAGTGCTGGAAATGTTTTGCATCTTATTTTGGGCTGCGGTTACACAGGCCTGTTGTGGGTCATTGAGGAAGTTTTCTGACTCATAGTGACTCCATGTGACAGAGCAGGACTGCCCCATAGGGCTTTCTTGGCTGTGAGCTTTACCGGAGCAGATCACCAGGTCTTTCTTCTGCAGAGTTACTGGGTGGGTTTGAACTGCCAACCTTTTGGTTAGCAGCCCAGTGCTTAACTGTGACGCCACCGGGGCTCCCTTACATAGGCCTATCAACCGTCAGAACTCATTGACCTGACATCTAAGTTGTGTGTTAACCGTTGTTGCCGTTAGTTGCCATCGAGTTAGCTCTGACTCATGGTGACCCGTGTACAACAGAACCAAACGTGGCCTGGTTCTACGCCATCTTCCCGATTGCTGGTATTCTCAAGTCCGTTGTCATGGCCACTGTGTATTTTGAGTGCCTTCCAACCTAGGGGCTCATCTTCCAGCACTATATCAGTGTTCTGCTGTGATCCATAGGGTTTTCATTGGCTAATTTTCAAAAATAGATCGCCAGGCCTTTCTTCCAAATCTGTCTTAGTCTGAAAGCTCCACTGACACCTGTCCACCATGGGTGACCCTGATGATATTTAAAATACCGGTGGCATAGCTTCCAGCATCAGAGCAGCACGCAAGCCACCCCAGTACGACAAACTGACAGACTGTTAGTGGGTGTGTTCACCAGGCCTCCATAAAAAATGTTCAAAGTTTATAAACTGTTAACAGTAGTTACCTTGGCATATGGGACAAGAATGACTCATTCTCTCTCTCTCTCTCTCCATCTCTCTCTTCCTCTCCATCTATCCACCTATCCATCTCTCCAATACATATATATACACATATGTACTTTTATGTATTTGTTGCTGCTGTGTGCCGTTGAGTCAATTCTGACCCATAGTGATCCCACGTGACAGAGTAGAACTGTCCCATAGGGTTTCCTAGGCTGTAATCTTTATGGAAGCAGACCGCCTGGTCTTTCTCCCATGGAGCTGCTGGTGGGTTCAAACCGCCAAGCTTTAGGTTAGCAAAAAAAAAAAAAAACAAAATAAAACCTGTTGCCGTCAAGTCAACTCTGACTTACAGCTACCCTGTAGGATACAGTAGAACTGCCCAGAGGGTTTCCAAGGCTGTAATATTTTTGGAAGCAGACTTTCACGTCGTTCTCCTATGGAGCAGGTGATGTGTTCAAACCGCTGACCTTTCAGTTAGCAGCTGAGCGCTTTAACAACTGCACCACCAGGACTTTTTTTAGGTTAGCAACCTATATATATATATATATGGGCTGCTAACCAAAAGGTCAGCAGTCTGAATCCACAGCCACTCCTTGGAAACCCTATGGGGCAGTTCTACTCTGTCCTATAGGGTCCCTACGAGTCGGAATCAACTCAATGGAAATGGGTTTGGTTTGGTTTTGGTTTTATATGTATACACATATATATATGTACATACGTATCTAGACACACACACATCTGTTATTTAAATATTTAACAGGCATTGAAAACAGTCATTAACAGTTACCAAGAGCTCACAACGTGCCAAGCTCCCTGCCAAGTGCAAGCACCCTGCCAAGACATCCACGGTCCTTTCAATACCCGCAAGCATCACCTGACCCATCTACAGATGAGGAAAGGAGGCAAAAGCAGCATCAGGAATCCCGCCAAAGGTCTCAGCACCCGTACGCGGTGGAGCTGGGATTCCACGCAGGGCGGCCTCCAGGACACAAAATCAGACCTTCCCAATGAATGTGGCAAACTCTGCACAATTCTTTCCAAATTCACAAGAGCCCTCTGCTTCTGTGTCTGAGCCCAGGCGGCCCCCTCTGCGCCTCTCTCCCCACTGACACCCCCTTTCCAGGTGCCGCCTCCAGGTGGGGAGCCCAGAAGGTCAGCCTCTTCCCTGACTCCACCAGGAGCACCCCCGTTAGCCCACATCTCTGCTCCCAAGCCAAGAGCAGCCTGCTCAAATATTTGCCAGGTTGGCTTCCCACTCAGGCAAACCCAGATGAGGTGGCCTTAGGAAACTACCCCCCAGGGCGGAATTTACTTAGTTGTGAAACTAACCACCATGTATTTGATTTTCAATTTCAGTCAGATCACCCCATAATGCCACTGCCCCTCCCACTTCCTGATAGTCCACCATACAAATGGCGGGGAGGGGTGGAATCAGGACTTCCAATCTCAAGACAGACTGGAGGCTGCTGCTGGCAGATTCCGGACATCATCTTCTAAGGCTGATTGAGCGCTTACTCTATGTGGAGCACCATGAAAGCATCAAGAAGCCTAAGCCGCAGCACTACATATATCCTCTATAAGTGTCTTATTGCTGCTGTAACAAAATCCCACAAACTTAGTGACTCAAAACAACACACACGTATTATTTTATAGTTTGGGAGGTTAGACGTCTGAAATGGGGCTTAAACCCATTGCTGTGGAGTCGATTCTGACTCATAGCAATCTACAGGACAGAATTCAACTGCCCCATAGGGTCTCCAAGGCTATAATTTTACAGGGAGCCCTGGTGGTGCAGTAGTTAAGAGCTCAGGCTGCTAACTGAGAGGTCAGCAGTTCAAATCCACCAGCTGCTCCTTGGAAACCCTGTGGGGCAGTTCTACCCTGTCCTATAGGGTTGCTAGGAGTCAGAATTGACTTTATAGCAACAAGTTTGGTTTTTGGTTTTAATCTTTACGAAAGCAGACTGCCATATCTTTCTCAGGTGGGGAGGCTGGTGTGTTCAAACTGCAGACTTTTCCATTAGCAGCTGAGCGCTTAAGCACTGCACCACCAGGGCTCCTTGAAATGGATCTTACAAGGCTAAAATCAAAGTGTCAGCAGATCTGTGTTCTTTCTGGAGGCTCTAGGAGAAAATTTGTTTCCTTGTCTTTTCAAAGTTCTAGAGGCTGCCCACATTCCTTGGCTCATGGTCCCCTCCTCCATCTTCATAGGCAGCAGTGTACCATCTTCCACTCTTTCTCTGACTCCCTCTTCTGCCTCTTTCTTCCACTTAAGGTATCCTGGTGACAAAGGTCATGGGCGGCACAAACGGTTTGCCCTCGACTACTAGCCTAAAGGAGCCCTGGTAGTCCAGTGGCTAAGCACTTGGCTGCGAACCAAAAGGTCAGCAGTTCAAACCCACCAGCCTCTTGGCGGGAGAAAAATGCGGCAGTCTGCTTCGGTAAAGATTACAGCCTTGAAAACTCTATGGGGCAGTTCTACTCTGTCCTATAGCGTCGTTATGAATGGGAATTGACTCAACGGCAACAGGTTCGGTTTGTTTTTTTTTTACTAACCAAAAGGTTGGCACCACTGAAGAAAGGCCTGGTGATCAGCTTCCATAACAATTACAGCCAAGAAAACCCCACGATGCAGTTCTACTTTGTAACACATGGGGTCTCCATGAGTCGGAATCAATTGTACCACAAGAGGTTTGGTTTTTGGTGTTTTTAGTTGCCAGTGGGAGATGACACTTTGGGAACCCCAAGGCTGCCTTCCTAGGGTTCTTTTGCTTCCTGTCCAGGCAGCCTCAGAGCCAGACCCAGTGCAGCCTTGGCCCCAGGAGCCCGTCCTTCCCCTCGTCGATAGCAGTGCTCCTGACACCCAGCGCACTCCAGCATATAGCTCACTTCAACTTTGGCACCTGCATCTCCGTCCTCCTGCGGGGGCCGAGCCCAGCCACTCCTAGAACGAGCTGGCTGGGTGATGGTGCTAATGCCAGCTTAGTTCCGGCCGGCGCAAGCCTTGGACGCAAAGCCTTAGAGACGCGCTGTGGGTTTTTTGTACTGTTTTCCAAAGCCGGTGCGCTTTTTAAATGTATTTTACACTCGTGGTCTAGACACACTTCAAGAGCTCAGTAGCCATAAGTGGTAACTGGTCTCCATTATGAACAGCACTGCCTCAGAGTGTTCCCTGTAACGCCGCCACCCTTGAGGTCTCCCCTCCTGGCGCCTGGCGCCTAAGGTCCCCCTAGGTCTGCCCTGACCCCCCAGGCCAAGTAGCACAGTACATAGAATAATAAATATAGCTCTCCACATCTGATGTGAAGTTAGCTCCATTTTGTTGTTGTTATTAGGTGCCATGGAGTCAATTTTCGACTCATGGCAACCCCATGTGACAGAGAAGAACTGCCCCCATAGAGTTTCCTACGCTGTAATCTTTACCCGAGCAGACTGCCAGGTGTTTTTCCCGCCTAGCCGCTGGGTGTGTTTGAACTGCCAACTTTTCCGCTAGTTTCGTGCCCAGCGCACCGTTTGTGCCGCCAGGGCTCCGCAGCTCCATTTTACACATGGGGAAACTGAGGCGAAGAGAGCAAACGGGATTTAACGGTGAAGCCAGGGTTGGAACCCACGTCCCAGGAGGGTGGCCCCATAGGAGCAAACGGCCATGTGGACGTCTCCGTGCCTGGAAGGGCGGCTGCCAACCTCAGGGGGCGCTGGCGCCCACTCCACCCGGTTCCGGGCATGGCAGTCTCTGACCAAGCTTTGAGGTAGACGGAAGGCTGACTAGTCCTAGGGATCCCCTGAGCCCCTTGACAGGGCCAGAAACTGTGGCTGTAGCAGGGGCACTCCAGCGAGTCCCCTCTGCCCCAACCTCTCCAGCCCCCAGGCGGTGCGCTCGAAGATGCCCAGCTGGGCGCTCAGGGAACCCGCGGGCCGGATGGGAGTGGAGCTTTCCAGAAGCGCACGGAGGACCCGTGCAAGAAGAGTACAAAGTCTGGGTAAAAGAGAAGCGGGAAGGGAACCGGTGCCCACGCACCAAAAACTGGGTAGGACGGGTAGACGGTTAGATGGGGCCACGCCCCTGTCCGTAAGTAATAAGACTCCCCCACCCCCAGGGGCTGCCAAGGGGACACATGGCAAGGTGGAAAGGGGGGGCAGCGCGCGGCGACCACCTGGGGCTCCCGCTTACCCAATGCTCGGCTCTGTGCTTCCCCGATAGCCCAGCGGCGACAGTGTTAGCGACAGCAGCCAGGAACCGCCTGCCTCCGCGCCTTAGTGCTGACGGGCACACGGGGCAGGGCAGGGCGGGGCCGCCAGCTGGACCACGCCCCTCAACCCCCCCTCGGGAGGAAGTCCCGGGGAGCCCCCCCTTCATCTAGCGCTCCCGAGGTCGCACGGCCAATGGGAGCGCGAAGCTGGGACGCGCCACCCGCTCTAACCCCGCCCCGCAACGGGGCTATTCGCGGTCATTGCCCGGGTGACTTCAGGGAAGCAGTTGGGGAGGTAGTTCTATTCCTCTAGGTTCCTCTGTTTTGTGACCTGGGGCACATCCTGCGGTAATGTTTGCCCCGACGTTCCAAGTTTAATTGCTCAGCAGGCAAAATCCTACAAAAAGGCCGTGAATGTTTTACAGTGTCCACGAGGGTTTTAAATTTTAACCCAAGTAATAACATGTCCCCGGTGAAAGGAAAGATTAACTATTATGGGAAGGCTTAAAATGAAAAGCAACAGCCCCTGATGTTCCACCTTCACTCCTAGAACGATATCTTCGCCCACCCTCACCCCAACAAGCCCTTTTGTTCTTTAACAGTTTATAACAGGAAATGTTTGCACACGGTCAAAATTTCAGTGTAAAAGAGTTTGCAAAGATAAGGAAGAGTTAATCTCCCTCTCACCCTGACCTCCGTTCCCCGGGGGTAACTGGGAAAAGAAAAGAGAATGGAGATATGTACGTCGCTGTTAGCTGCTGGCCAGTCAGCTCCAAGTCAGAGCGTCCTTGTGTTTACAGAATGAAATGTTGCCCAGGCCTGTGCTATCTTCAGGATTGTTGACATGCTCAAATCCACTGTTGCAGCCACTGCGTATGAGTGCCTTCTAACCTAGGGGGCTTATCCTCCAGCGCTATATCAGACAGTAGTCTGTTGTGATCCATAGCGCTTTTTTATTGGCTGATTTTCAGAAGCAGATTGCCAGGCCTTTCTTCCTAGTCTCTCTTAGTTGGGAAGCTCCACCAAAACCATGGGTGTCTTAGTTATCTAGTGCTACTATAACGAAAATACCACAAGTGGATAGCTTTAACAAACAGATACATTCTCTCACAGTCTTGGAAGCTAGAAGTCTGAATTCAGGTCACTAGCTACAAGGGAAGGCTTTCTCTCTCTCTTGATTCTGGAAGAAGGTCCTTGTCTTCAATCTTCCTCTGGTCTAGGAGCATCTCAGCCCAGAGACCCCGGGTCCAAAGGATGCACTCCGCTCCTGGCTCTTCTTTCTTGGTGGTAGGAGGTCCCTCTCCTCCCTGCTCAATTCTCTCTTTTATATCTCAGAAGAGATTGACTCAAGATGCAACCTAATCTTGTAGCTTGAGTCCTGCCTCATTAACATAACTGCCTCTGATCCTGCCTCATTAACATCATAGAGGTTAGGATTTACAGCACATAGGATGATCACATCAGATGACAAAATGGTGGACAACCACACAATACTAGGAATCATGGCCTAGTCAAGTTGACACACATTGTGGGGGGACATAATTCAATCCATGACAGTGGGTGATCCTGCTGGTATTTGGCATAGCTTCCAGCATCACAGCAACACTAAAGCCCCCACAGTACGAGAAAATGATGGTGGTGGGGATACATATATATATATATATATAT